TCTCCGCATATCTCGCATAAGAAAAATTGCTGTGATCAGAATTTTGGCGAGAGTCTTTGCATATTTACCTTCTTTTATTTCCCAGATTCTGGACTTTGTCTATTGACCGGTTTTGTTTTTTTATTTTGATCTTTTTCGAATTGCGTGACACTGAAAACCAGCAATACTTTGGTTGATTACCTGCACTCTAAGTTAATTTGAATTTTATTGTGTTCTTTATTGAGCGGTTTATTCGAGTGCCGAAAAGTCACTGATTTTACAATATTGTTTTGCGCCTCGCTCGCTCACATTTTCACGGGTCTCGCATCATGTATTTACTTCATACTTTGATTGGTTCACTGGATTGCCTGGGCTAGATTGTTACATTGCTTTTGATTTTACCACACTTATTTGAAAAGCACTCTAATGGTCGATATTGTTTCTCGGCCTCATTGATTGAATTTAGTTCTTCAAATGAGGCAAGATCTAATCAGTCACAACCTAATAGGTGCTTTGTTCTCTTCCAATTTATTTGTACTCGTGAGCAGTTGTCCTTCCTTTATCTCCATTGAACAGATGCCTCATCCGCGACTGACATGAAGTGTGAAATAAAGTCCTCCTGTTCCTCGCCGGTGTGTCAACAGACCAATCCGATGACGGTGTTTCCAGGCTCCAACGTAACTCTCAACTGCTCTATCGTCACTGAAGGACTTGCACAAGGCATGACCTGGAGCCAAATGCTGGAACAAGTTAAGAATAGTACGGGGTTACCAAACTTCATTTTGGAACGTTCGAATTCTACGACAAATAGTGGAAAACATTCATGTCAGTGTACCACTATAAATTTCACACGTAGGTGCTTCCTTATTGTTCATCCATGGTATCAAAAATAACAATACTAAAAACTAAAACGCTGTCTCCATCGTCGTAAGGATTCTAAGTAAATGGCCAGTTCTTCTCCATGCCGTCAACACTGACAGGGCACGAGTTGACATGATGGCATGACGTAGCGGGTCGCGCTTTAACACGAACAAAGAAATTAGCTTCTAAACACTCCTGGACTGAATCAGAGGACAAGTGAAACATTGCTATTTATCAACGCGAAGTTGATTAAGAGAAATTGATCGCCAGAGCGAGTTAGTGAAGCTGATGTTTCGAGCGTCAGCTCTTTGTCAAAGCAAAATATTGTCTTTTTATTGAGGGAAAACGAGGTGCCTTTTTGCATAAACGACTCACATTGGCACGACATATAAAGACCTGACCTGACATGCACATGGATGGATATAGCGTAACATGATAACCTCTATATAACAGTATATATCGTGACCTGACACATGACCGTCAGACAATCATTTCAGTCGTAGCAAATGAACCTGGAACGGCAGGGTTTTTAAACATATCGACGGAAAAAGTAACTTGCACCCACAGCACAATAATTTCCCATTTCTTTTATATTCAGTCAACGGCTAACTCATTTGGTGTAGTTATCAGAAGATCTTTTTGCTTCTTTTATTAGGTGCACTGGAAATTGTTTATTTTACGAGTACACCCAATGATATCATCCAAGACAAAATAGGGGAATTGAAATGCGTTTTCTTAGGTTGGCCTCTCCCTCGCACAGTACTTTGGCACAAAGATAATGAACTCATCAGCAACGGAACCGAAGGCATTTATCATTCGCTGCAGGAGAAAGGAGAAACTCTGCATAGCATACTTCATCTTCCACACGGACGCGAAGAGCAGGCAGGATTCTACAACTGCAGTGCAACGAATAGTATTCCTGGCTGGTCGAGCAGTGCGTCTAAGAAGATACAGATGTTATATGAGTGTAAGTTATGACATTTACTCCTCTATCAAAGTGTTTCAGGTTCATCTATCGAACAAGGCCTTTGAACGAGCAAAATGTCAATGTTATCACAGCAAACTTCTTCTAACCCCGACAATGATGATGCGGCAACATCGAGAGCGCGTCGCATTTCAGGAGTCCCTTGTGTTGTCGCAGGCAGGTTTCCTCTGGACGTGCTGGATCCATTTGGTTGGTTACGTGCAAAATAAGTCATTGTTATACTTAAAAGTTATTCTGAATGACCTCGATTAAATTTCTGCAATATAGGTCCCTCAGCGAGAAGCCCGACCATTGCCTCATCGGAGATTTTTGCAAGCAAATCCTCAAACACCAACCTTACATGCTGGATTGATTATGAATCCTACTGTCCAGATAGTTTGACTTGGCATTTAAATGACAATCGGACGCCCTTGCCAGAAAACGGTCCGAAGTTTAAAGTGGAAGAAAAAGATACTCATTCCACATGCAAAAAAGAATTCATCCTCTCTATATTCAACGTGACGGAAATTGACGAGGGAACATACAGCTGCCACTGGCATTGCGAGTACGAAAACACTACAAAAGCTGCCATTGATTTGAAAGTATTTAATCCACAACCAACAGGTTAGAAGTTATTTGTTGTCAAAAGCAACAGTAATCCCCGCTTATCTTCGTTGTTGTCACTAAACGTGTACATTATGGTAAAATCAGTTATACCAAGGGAGGATGAAGGGCATGTTAGGTAATCCCTCTAAGATTATTTCCAGATAACGATCGGCTTAAAAAATCCCAGAAGTGTCTACAAATATCCAATATTGTGCCACGGTCTTTGCTGACGTGGACAGCCCAAGTGGCTTTGCACGCTTTCCATCCTCGACGAAAACATCCAGGCAAAATTATCAGCGGAAAAACTGAGTACCAGTTCAAGTGATAACCTTGTATGCAACTTTTGCAGAGAATTTTAAATATCACTCGTAGTTAAAACGGCTAATTTTTCGAGGTTCTCAAGGGGCACTTATTCATTATTTGACTAAGTTCCGTCAGAACGTCTTAAAAGGGGAGGACGCCTAATTCAACACACCGAAGAAGGGCCAAGCGGGAAAAGTCTGCGGTTACCTCACTGATTTATGCTGTTTTAGCTTGTTCGTCCTTTTATGTCATTTTCGTCATGTGTTATACATCACACGAGTTTTATCTCATTTTCACCCGTAGTTACGATAGCTCTGTAATAAAATTCGGTATCTAACGTCTAATCTCTTTCACTTTCCTTTTTAGAGATTTCAGAACCAACAGCATCAACAACAACGAAACAAAGGACAACTTCAAATCAGTTAAGCACAGTTTTGGGTTCTCCCACTTATTTAGGTCAGTATAAGATCTAGTGTCTCCAAGTAGAATTAGACAGACATTTTGCTACACAAAAAACTATAAAATCAGCAGATATGACCAGACGTTCGCTACTAAATCTGGTCACCATGCAGCGAACTTAGATGTAAATGTACATGGGTATCTTTGGAAGAAAAAAGTTATCAAATTTGTGAATGCAAAGTTCGGATCAATGATCACAGCGATACATTTTATGAAGTGTGCTACTGTATGCGTGACAATAAAAAGTACAAGAGAATAGTAAAATCTGTCACTGATAAACGATCAAACAAAAAAGACAAACAAACTAACAAGTTTTGTGTTTAAACTAATTCTTAACCTTTCCTCAAAATCAAGTTCCTAACCAACTGAGACTACAATTGTGATGATAAAAAACGAGCCTGGTTGCACAGTTTATGTTCTACTTTATTGAATCTGTTGATGTGCTTAAAGATCAGTTTTTAATCAATTATTTATGTTTTCCCGTCTGTTTTTACTCCACAGGGAGTGGCAGAGATTGGCTCCTGCCAATTATCATATTATCAGCTGGAAGTGTGGCAGTCTTGATCATGTTATTCATTCGGTTTATTGTCAAGAAAAAATGGACATCATCCTATAATATTAAAAAACGTGAGTTTTTGTAGTCCAATTGAAGATCAGTGAGTGGTGCATTGGTTGGTAAACTGATACAAGAAAATTAGGAAAATATGCGCAGTTAACATGGGCGAACCTTTTGTACTATGCAAGCCAAAAGCATAAGAACATGATAGTGCCTAAGCTTTGCTTTGTGAGGTTTATAGATACTAAAAACACAAGGGAGAAAATTGTAGCAAATTGGTCGTGTTCTGGCTTGATCATAGGGTAAATCCCAGCCCAGTTACACGGATGAAAATGGCACAGGACGAGTTTGACGCGACATTCAACAACAACAACAGATACTTTGCCACTCAGCACTGCTGAATGGTATGCTCGTCATGTGAGAAAAACAGCATACAAGTCAAAATGATGTCATCAGGCTCTCCTTTTTCACTCCGGCAAGTAAAAGAGTTACAATGTTCATCCATTACTGGGATTTAATCGGAGCCAAATGTTTACAAAGGAAATAATAGTGAAGCGACATCTGGGAAACCCAGTCACCCTTCTTAACCAGGCTCATTGAAGACGTCTTAACAGGATCAGCAATTTCAGTTGCAGCCTTTTTCCTTAAGTTAGTCGAGTGTCTCAGCTGTAGAAGACATCTCTAATCTATTTTGGGCAAAGCTTTCGCGCGTAAAATAGAATACAAATCAAATGGATTACCAAGCTGAGAACAACATCTTTGAACGTATTATAATTGAGTTGGAGTACTGAGTCCGGGGCCGGTTGGAGGAGAGCCAATTAAAATTGTCTTTAACACCGATGGTTTCAAGCCATTAGACTCAAAAAAAAGTTAGTTAGTTCAAGCTGGACACGTTGGAGCGTTATTGCTTTTCTTTTTAATTTTTTGTTTTATTGCTTGTAGATGGTCTCGTGGAAACGGATTTCATAAACCGACTGTTTATCAGCTACAGTTCAAAGGACTTTGGTTGGGTCACTGAGAATCTCATCTCAATTCTTGAAAAGCACTCGATTGACTACAGCATCCACAGCCGGGACTTTGAACTTGGAAGACCCATCGTCCAGAACATGGCCGACAGTGTGTACGGCAGTCGTCAAGTGTTGATTGTTTTGTCTGAGAATTACCTCGCCAGCAACTTTTGTCGAGAGGAGCTGCACATGGCCATACAAAGAGGGTTGGACGTGGGAGACTCGTCTTTGATTCTTGTGAAGATTAACGACTTGAAGAAAAAGAAATTGCCTACCGCCTTGAGAAAGAAACGTCTACTGGACTTTGACAAACACAGGAAGAAACAAGATTGGGAGGAGAAAATATTACGTGAGATATTGGAAGGTAAATTGACTGCTAATGTCTAGAAGTTAAGTTAAGAACTCGCACAACGCATAAGAACTTTAACTTGCATGAGATCTAGAGGGTAGTGTGGTAACAATTTTTATCGTTTTAAGGCAATGCTTATTGCTTGTATTTGATTTTGTAATTATTTCCCATTAGGTGCATAAATAGCTGCATTTCTTGGATAGTAGCAAAGAGGCTCAAAACAAATTTCAATCCAACGTTGGGCGACAACTAAAAATCTTTGCGCTCATGAGAATCGAAACTTCCCAACCTAACTCTGTTTTCTAACAACCAAATAATTAAGGTGGCTGGAAACAGTTTCCAGCGCTTTCCCAACCTTTATACATTGAGGCGTCAATACTATCACCTTTTATCGAGGAATGCTACACAAATTCCCTGTTGCCGATACTTCAACTCAACAACATTTGCAGTTTTAAGACCATAATTTATTCCACAAGTCCAGCCAGTTTTTACCACGCCAAAATTCTACACGACCAAAACAAAACCATGTGCTCACATCCGGGTTACAAAGTTTCTTACTTAGTACTTCATATAATGTCCAGGTAATGTCAAATCCGATTAAAGATAGAAAACTACAGTTCTGCGGCGGGTAACACGCCCAGCCATTGGTGAATCAATAACGGTACTTTTTATGGGATAATGAGTTACCATTACAACAATACAAGCTGTTAGAAACACTCTTAATTGTAGCCTCAATTGCTTATAGTTCAACAACGGGCCACGTGACACCCATTTTTCTTTATTATCGTCTTGTAATAAGAATGAAAAGAGAGGGTGGGTAAGGGGGCTCTGATAACATTTCACGGAAAATGAATAGGTCTTTTCATAGTTGATGGTAAATCAAATAGACGAATCACGTATCACGAAACTAGCGACAAATTTTTGCTCTGGAACTTGTGCAATTAAGAGCTTTCAGAGAGTTAAGAGTGCGAAGAACAGCTCCGCTTCCTTTTTTCCGCAAGAAACAAAAGAAAAACAACATTTTTCTGAAGACTTATGCAGAATGATGAAACAGATTTACTTTAACGATTATGAAATAACAGTTGTCAAAAAATAATAGAAAACAATCAAAATAAAGTTTCATGACGGATTAGATGTTTATTTCTCATTTTGCAGAGAAGTATATTAAAAAATCATGCCTCACGTTTACCGAAATCACATTTCATTTGAAAAAAAAAAGAGATTCCACGTTCCACGTAAAAAAATAAGGCCATTCACAAATCAAAAAAATACCCTTTGCCACTCTCATAAGAGGCAGTTGTTTTTTAAGGTTATGTGAAGGAGTGGGAGGGGGGGCGGGGGGGGTGAGGGTCGCCTTGAATTTTCGACAATTTAAGGAGGCTTTGAACTAAAAAAAATGACTCGTAGCTCGCTTTTCCGTAATCGCTTTCCAAATGTTTAGAGTTAGTTTTATTGTTTCACTTTAATGTAATTGATTATTAGCTATTTTCGTCCAATAGGTAAGCCTCAACACGTGCTCTTTACTCACTTGACTAATTCTAAGTTCTTATAAACAATAAACGTTATCAAAACGGGTGTAATCTTGTATCTTCTGAGTTCCTTGATTGAAGCGAAATGATACTCTCATCGCTGTTCTCTGACCGAACGTGACAAATAATTACAAAGTAACTGTATAGTCGACTTCAGCTGAACAAAACACTCCCTGAGAAAACTAAAAGAAACGTGACAGTCGTTATTGCCGGAACACCTTATATTTTAGAAGGGCTTTTCTGTCCCCGCTGTACATATTTTAGAGCCCTGCAATGTCTACATTTCTTTTTTCGTAACCACAACCCTGTAACTACTGTACGCGATGATCGTTTATTTACAGAGGAAACGTGCGAGAGACATGAGATAGTAGCACTTAATTAGCTCCGAGTATCTCGAGACCTAAAGTCTAAGTAAACACAATGGTGATATCGACAATCACACCGTTGAACACCATAGAATCGACTCGGAATCCGCTCCGCGTACCGACATATGATCCACTTAATTAGAATTAGAGCGAACATAGCTCAACCAAATTCGATATTTACCAGCACGTTACAGTGAAGACGAACGGTGGCATCAAACAGAATCAGAAATAAGAAAATAAAGACGGATGGAAATGGCTAAACCACTGTAAACTGAACGATTATTTTCAGTCAAGGACCATCATCATTCACAAACAATGTTTCGTTCACGCAGCTAACACGACTTTGCTCGAGCTGTCGAAATTTCAGTGACCAACAACAATCCTATTCCGGATTGTCGTCAACCAGATCATCAAATTATAAATTATCAGAAACTACTGAATTCGGGGATTCAAACCATTTACGACATTCACCATGAAGTTTCTGCTAGAGTATTATTATTAGTTTCAACGATAACTTTGGATTTCAACGACGTAAAGGAGAAACTACACAAAGCCTATTAACGCATGAAGCCACTTATGGCCCTTTATATCTGCTTTTTAGTGCAAGTCACGGACCGTAACAAAACCAATAATTAAAGGGGGTGCGTCATGGAACTTTATGCGATTTTAGAGTTAAGAATGAACTAGTTAAATTAAGTGAATTAACTTATCAGTGTCAGAATTAACTGAAATATCGCAATAACACCTTAAAGCTGTTGAAAACTCCAAAGAAAACCAAAGAAGGCGTTTAGATAGGCACATTTGGAGAAGATTTAAACGAATTAAAAAACATAGAGCAAACTTTCTTCAAGTTTATCTCAATTTGTATGAGAGTGTCAGCATTACTGCAGATTCTTATGTGGTGGTGATCCCTACCGTGATCTTACCCACTTAAGACTCTTGCTCTGTCAATTTGAATCAGTGTAGAGCTTATAGCTGACCAGAATAAACAGAATTAGCACCAATACTGTGCCACCCTATTTGCTGAATGCAGCGGTCTCTTAGACCAACCATACAGTTTCTGTAATTATATCTGTTGTGTAAACAAACTTTAAAGCGTACAGACAATGAGTCATCTCAATAGAAAACTCTTGATCTAGATTCGATTTTTCCTAGTGATATAAGATAATAAGATATAAGCTCTAAGGTCCACCTGTCAAAATGTTTCGAGAATACAAGTAATGTTCAGATACAAGACGGAGCCCAATTGAGTCCATACATGCCAATCTTGCTCTTGAAAACCCTACTAGTGAACCGTTCCCATTGCTAGAATTGCTTTCAAGAGCTTTTTTTATCATGTTAGAGGCGAGGCAAGGCAAGGCAAGGCAAGGCAAGGGTAAGGGTAAGGTAAGGAAAGGTAAGGTAAGGGAAGGGAAGGCAAGGGAAGGCAAGGGAAGGC